ATTTCTCCTTGTCTGCCTCACTCTGGGAACTCCACTGAAACCTGTTCAGCATGAGTAACCCTGCCAGCATTTTAAATATCAGTGGAATAACTTCCAGCATCACAACAACTTCAAAAATCAAAACAGAAAACTGAGAGACAAATGCAGTACTCATAAGAGCAATCAGTAAACAAGCAATCGTAAACACATCTGAGCTACAAAATAAATAGCAACAAGCAAAATGAGGAGAAACAATTGTAAACTAAATAATAATAATAATAAATAATAGAAACATGGAATGTACAAAGTATGTTTCTTGAAAAACTGGAAGTTGAAAACATTGATAGAATAAATAAATGACAACATTTTAGGCAATAATGAATAGAAACGGACAGGCATTGTCCACTATGAATCACGCAATTATGTGATCTATTTTGCCAAGAATGAAAAATTATGGAATAAAAATTATGTTGCATTCATAATAAACCCCTCCAAATCAACAAAAAGTAAAGCATTTCAAGATGTATGCTGAGTCCAACACTCTAAGTGATAGAATACTATCCATATGTATATAAAGATGACCTATTAATACAATTTTTATTCAAATATACACAATGACAATTAAAGCGAAAGATGAGCAAACTGAGGAATTCTACCAACTGTTGCAGTAAGAACTTGACCAAACATGTAATAAAGACCCTTTAATAAAAATTGTTGACTGGAATGAAAAAGTTGGAAACAAAGAAAAAGAAATGGTAGTTGGAAATTACAGACTTGGTGATGGATATGAGGCTGGAGATAGAATGAATTTTGTACAGTCAATGATTTATTCATCACAAATATCTTAAAAAACACAAACTTTTTTGTTCATACATGGAGCACAGCTGGTGGAAAAGAATCATTGAGAAGTTCAGTATTAGTAGAAGAAACAAGGCAAGATGCTGATTGTAGAAGACTATCATTCATGTGCAAGTTGAAAATGAAGCTGAGGAAAATGAAAACAAGTCTACAAGAAACACCATATGACCTTTAGTTTATTCTAAGTGATTTTAAAAGCCATCTCAAGAATAGGTTTGAGGCATTGAACACTAATGTTCAATTAATGATGGGTTGTGAGATGAAATTAAGGATATCATCCATTTTGTTGTTGTTATGTGCGGTCGAGTAGCTTGCAACTCATAGCGACCCTATGTACAACAGCCCTAAACTCTGCTCTGTCCTGTGCCACTTGCACTGCCTCTGACACACCCATCCTGATTACCCCAGTCACTGAATCAATCCACCTCATAGAGGGCCATCCCCTCCTGCACTGTCCCTCCAACCTCCCCAGCATGATGTTCTTCTCAAGGACCGGTCTCTTCTTACAACATGTCCAAAGTATGTTAGAAAGAGCCTCAGAATCTTGCCTCCGAAGTGCCACCCGGTTTAACCCTTTCTAGGATGAATCTGTTTGTTTTCCCAGCAGTCCATGGTATTCTCAATACTCTTCTCCAGCACCACAGCTCAAAGGCATCAATTCTCCTTCTATTCTCCTTGGTCATTGTCCAACTCTCTGATGCATAACAAGTGATTGTGAAGACCATGGCATGTATCAGACGCACCTTAGTCTCCAGAGAGACACCATTGCTCTTCAGTACTTTGGAGAGGTCCCTAACAGCAGACTTTCCCATGGCAATGTGCCTTTTAATTTCCTGGCTGCTGGTGCCAAGACTGTTGACTGTGGAGCCAAGCAAACTAAAGCTGTGTACAATCTCAATCTCTTCACCATCCATCCTGATGCTGCCAATTGGTCCAGTGGTGAGAACCTCTGTCTTCTTGACATTGAGCCTCAATCCATATTGGAGGCTGCAGTCCTTGACCCTCTGCAGCAGGTGCTTCAGGTCCTCTTCAGTTTCAGCAATCAGGGTTTTGTCATCTGCATAACGCAGATTGTTGATAGATCTTCCACCAATCTTGACCCCACATTTCTCCTCATAGAGCCCAGCCTCCCGGATCATCCAATAAGAAAGCAAAATATCATTACAAATACAGGGAAGGAAGTAAAAACACCAAAATAGATTTTAGAAGAGACTCTGAAAATTAATTAGAGGGTTAAAAAGCCTAAATAAAGCAAAGAAATACTGAAGTGAAAGAACTGAACAGAAGATATAAAAAGGCAGCTCAATAAGATAATGCAAATTATTATAATGAAATGTGCAAAGAACTGGAGTTAGAAAAAATGAAAAAGGAAGACTCACCTGTCATTTCTCAAGCTAAAAGTGCTGAGAAGCAAATCCAAGTTTGTTTCACTAATTGAGCTTCACTATTGAAGGATACTATAAACAAATTCTTGAATGACCCAGAAAGAATGAGAAGAAGAGGAAGAGAATACAGAGTTATTGCACCAAAAAAATTGACTGGTACAGATCTGTTTCATGAAGTAGAGCATGATCAGACCCAATGATAATAAAGGAAGATGTTTAAGCTGCACTGAATATTGACAAAAATAAGACTCTAAGAGTTGAAAGTATACCAACTGACATTCTCCAACTAACAGGAGCAATCCTGGATGTACTCATCAGTCTGTGTTAAGAAATTTAAATGAGAGTGACCCAGCCACTGGCTGGAAGATATTAATATTTTTTTTTACATTCCCAAAAGAAGGGATCTAACAAAATGTGGAAATTATTGAGCAATATCATATGCAAATAAAATCTTGCTGAATATTATTGAAAAATGAGTAGAATAGCACATCAGTTGAGAACTTCCAGAAGTTTAATCTGGATTTAGAAGAGACTGTGGCACCTGGGATATCACTGTTGATGTCAAATGGATCTTGGCTGAAAGTAGAGAATATCAGAAGGATGTCTACATATGGTCTAGTAACTAAACACATTTAACTGTGTGGATCGTAATACATTAGGGCTAACATCGATAAGATAGGATTTCTGGCACTCTTAATTATGCTCATAGGTAATCTATACCTAGACCAATCCTTGGAGAAGGACATCATGCTCAGAAAGGTGGAGGGACAGCACAGGAGAGTAAGACCCAGGATGAGATAGATTGATGCAGTAACTAGGGCAATGGGAGTAGGTGTGTTGGAGTCTGGCTCAGGACAGGGCAGGATTCACAGCTGTTGTACATAGGGTCGCTATGAGTTTCAGGCAACTCCATGGCACCTAATAACAACAACAATGCTAATATTTTGCAACCTAAAGACAGATTTCATATTGCAGAAACACATCTCAATGCATGTCATAGTACATACCATGGTGTCAAATTGACCAACAGCTTCAAATGAAAAGTCTACCCCTCCACCACTCATTTCTGTCAGCACTTCGTGGATGGGTTTCTTGAAATCCTGTGGGTTGAGGCACTCAGTGGCCCCCACTTCTTTGGCCTTTGCAAATTTGTCTTTGTTGATATCCACGCCAATGATCCTGGCGGCTCCAGCTAACTTACAGCCCATGATTACACACAGGCCAATTCCTCCAAGGCCAAACACGACACAGGTGGAGCCTTTAGTGACCTGAATTTTTAGAAAACACAAAAATGCATCAGTATTGAATATTACTAAGAGCTTTGGACTTTGTCTATTATGGAGAGCTACTTGAAATCTCATGATCAACCTGCTGTCAAACTTCATTTAGCTTCAGTTGGTTCATGTTTGAATTGAAGAGATTAACACAGATCAGGAACTCTCAGCCTCTTTGTACACTAGAGTCCCTTGTTGTTGTTGTTACGTGCTGTTGAGTACAACTCATAGGGACTCTATGGACAACAGATCTGAGGCCTCGCCTATAGTGTGCCCTCAGCATCTCTAATCTACTTAAACCCCTTGCTGAAGTCCACATTTCCAACCATGATGTCCCTCTTCAAGGAATATCTTCTCCTAGTAACACACTCAAAGTACAAGAGCCAAAATTTCACTAACTTAACTCTGGCTTTTTCCAAGACATGCGTGTTTGTTCTCTTGGTAGTCCATGGGATATTAATTATTCTTCCTCAACACAACACAAGGATTAAAATGTTCTGGTGCTCATTCACTTGGAACCTCGCTGTAAGTATTTTCTAAAATTTCCCATGGGATTCAAGTGGGAAGACCAGGATGGGAACCAGGGGACTAAAAGATTTTTGAACACTAAATGGTTTTGAAGAGGATCTTAGAAGCTCAATTCCAAAGGCATCCCATTTAAGTTCATTGTGAATACAGGAAAAATACTACTTTTGGGATATAGAATGAGTGAAAATATTATTCAAGAACCTTGAAAAATATAATATCAATAAATAAATCTTTAGCATATCAATTTTGAGAGCAATAGGTTGCATAATGAGGGCAGAAATTACCTGTGAAACATGGAAATTTTTCTCAGCTTAAAGGAAAATGTAATAATTCGGAAGATTCAACAGATAACTTGAATATAATGCAGCTTGAGACATTGGTCATAAAAGGTATCTCTTCTGCTTTGTAAACTGTTAGTAAATAATACTTTAATGGACATTTGACCTGCATCCTAATAATGAATAAAATTATTATTATGATTTCTTCTTTTGCTCTGTGTTCACTTCAACTACTTACTAAAATAGATGACACAAGTGCTGTTAGTGTTGAAATCACAGATATTTGGAAAAGATGCTCTCTAAAGTGTTAAAATTGACTCCTGACTGCTAATAAACATAATTTTCTTTAATCAGCCTTCAGTGTAGGTAAAAGGCTCCCATTATTGTAGCTAGGTAAGGCTATTCCTTGGAAAGGGACATCATGCTTGGAAAGATGAACAGTCAATGAAAAGATGAAGACCTCATTGAGATGGATTGACACAGTGACTTCAGCAATGGGATTGAGTGTCTGAGATGATAAAGATAGTATTGGAAAGGGTGGGGTGGGGTTCATGTTTGCTGTTCAGAAGGTCACTTTGAGTTGTACTCGATGATATCTAACAACAACATCCCTAGTAACTTCATTGCAAGATTCTTTTAAGAAAACATATTCAGTTATTTGTTCATTCTTCAGATGTTATTAAGCACCAGGGAATATAATAGCACCATTATTTACTCAGAAAAAATGAGATATTTTTATTAAAAATATGAGGAACTCTGTAATACTATTTAATATTGAGAAAGAGTTTTGAGAAAAGAAATATTGAACTAGGAAAAGCTGTTGTCAGGAACATCTCTAGAGTGCTGAAGAGCAATGATGTCCTTCTAGAGACTAAGGTGTGCCTACACCAGGTCATGATATTCACAATTACTTGCTATGTATCAAAGAGCTGGACCATGAACAAAGATGACAGGGAAGAATTGACATGTTTGAGCTGTGGCACTAGAGAAGAGTATTGAACAAACAGGTCTGTCATTGAGAGAGTGAAACCAAGCTGTTCCTTGAAGGTAAGGATTCTGTCTCACATACTTTGTGCATGTGGCCAAGGTGGAGGGACAGAGCAAGAGAGTAAGACCCAGGATGAGATGGGTTGACACAATAACTGGGGTTATGAAGGTAAGTGTATCAGAGGCAGTGAGATTGGCTCAGGATAGAGCAGGGTTTTGAGCTATTGTGCATAGCGTCATTAAGGGTAGAAGTTGACTCAATACCACATAACAGCAACCATTAACTAGGAGCTTTAAGACTTATGCTTTTGGGGCACAATTTTATATTATAATTAAGGCAAAGAGGTAATATTGGTGGCGTCTGATCACTAGGGAGGCATGTACATTTTCATGGCAGGGATATGAGACATAGCAGTAAAGTCCTCAAAATAGAGTACAATAAATTCTCCACTGAAGCATTGTTTTCTTCCAAGGAGACCATAATGTGCTTGGCTAGGTGTCAGCAGAAGGGAAAACAAGACAAGCAAGGTTTTAGAATTTTCTTATTAGAAGCAGCTCACCATATAGACTACTCAACTATGCTAAGCAGGTTAGTTTCTAGGACATCCTCTCAGTTTCTTACACGATCCTTTTTCTTTCTATACAGTACACATTTTATGCATCAGTGTTATTATGGTAAAAGGGGGAAGTTATTAAAGTCTATGGGGAATGATGCCTGATTTCTGTGAGAAAATATTTCTCTTTTGATTCCTGACAATATAAGCATTATTTTGATTTCCTGTTGTGCTTCTTACCTTGGCAACTTGGACAGCAGATCCATACCCAGTAGAAAATGCACAGGCCATGAGGCAGACTTTCTCCAGAGGTGCAGCTTCATTGATTTTGACCACTGAGATCTCATCCACCACTGTGTACTCAGTGAAGGCCCCAATGCCAAAGCTGTGATAGATGGACTTCCCTCTGCAAGTGAACCTGGTGGTGCCATCCTGCATGGTCCCTTGATACACAGTTGTGCTGCACAGTGCAACAGAGACAGGCAAGGCATAGGTTGGGGCATAACACTTGTTCCCATTGTGTCAGAATAACAGTATAACAGATGTGTTAAGAACTATCAGAAACTTACTTATATTTTGAGCAGATATTGCCTTCTGGGCGTTTACAAACTGTGCATTTTCCACACTGGGGAGCATAGAATGGAATGACTTTATCACCTGGATGGGAGTAAAACAATTTATTCTTAAATTTCTACCCAAAGAATAACAGAGAATGTACTTAAACTTGGGGATATTTATGTAAAGAGGCATGCATCTTAGGGAGTTTTGAGGAAGGATATCAGAGAAGTATAGAAGTAGAGAGTTTCCCTCAGTCAGACGGGGTCCCGAGACACTTCTGGAAGAACCATCATGATGACCGACCAAGGAGAACCCCAAGTCCAGTTCAAATTCGTGTTGGTGGGTGATGGTGGTACTGGAAAAAACAACGTTCGTGAAACATCATCTGACTGGTGAATTCGAGAAGTATGTAGCCACCTTGGGTGTGGAGGTCCATCCTCTCTTGTTCCACACCAACAGAGGACTGATGAAATTCAATGTGTGGGATACAGCTGGCCAGGAATAATTTGGAGGACTGAGGGATGGCTATTATATCCAAGCCCAGTGTGCCATTATAATGTATGATGTAACATTGAGAGTTGCCTACAAGAACATGCCTAACTGGCATAGAGATCTGGTTCAAGTATGTGAAAACATCCCAGTTGTGTTATGTGGCAATAAAGTGGACATTAAGGACAGGAAAGTTAAGGCAAAAGCCATTGTTTTCTACCGAAAGAAGAATCTTCAGTACTATGATATTTCTGCCCAAAGTAACTACAACTTTGAAAAGCCTTTCCTTTGGCTTGCTAGAAAACAATTGGAGACCCTAACTTGGAGATTACTGTCATGCCTGCTCTTGTCCCACCAGAAGTTGTCATGGACCCAGCTTTGGCAGCACAATATGAGCATGATTTAGAGATTGTGCAGACAACTGCTCTCCCAGATGAGGATGATGATCTGTGAGAGAACGAAGCTGGAGCCCAGCGTCAGAAGTCTAGTTATATAGGCAACTGTCCTGTGGTGTCAGTGGTGCCGCATGTTTGCCACTCTTGTATATAGCTAAGCAGAACATGGACTAATCTTTGGGATGCTGAAGGAGAGATGAATGGGCTTAGGAGTGAGTGTGGCAGTTAAAAAACACCCTTCATTTTTGGATCTGCATATTTAGCTATTTTGGAAAACAGTTTTCTTCTTGAGTTTCAAATACAAGACTGCTACAGTCAAATAACAATATTCTGTGGCAAAATATTGTTTGTTACTGTCATTCCTATTCTTTTCGTTTAGAACCAGAATAAAGTTGTATTTCATATATATATATATATATATATGAATAAAAGAAGTAGAGAATCAGTAATCAGTGAAGGAGAGGATCCATCAAGGATATGGATTGACACAGGGACTTCAACAGTGACCTAGAGGAAAACAGAGTTTGTGAGGACAGCACAAGATCAGTTAAGTATTTTATCTGTTGTACATAGGGTTTATAGGAATCAAAATCAGCTTCATGGCACCTAACTACAACCATAACAACAATAAAAATTTTTGTCAAGTGTCCTAAGAAGTAGAATTCCATCACCACTATGCCATTGGTCACTACCTGTCAACCTGTTTTCACTTTGAGTTTATTTTTAAATTTAATTTATTTTCTTGTGATTTTAATGATCATGATGATTTCCAAAGAAGAAATGCATGGTGTCCTTCTCCAGTGCCTGACTTCTCTGGATAAAATCATGTCCCTAAACATCAAGTAGTGATTAATAAAGTATTCTTGGTGTAGAGAACACATGAGTGCCTGAAAACAAATTTCTGTGTGCATGAAGGAAGTCAAGCAAGTAGAGAGGAAATAAACTTATGCTTCCGATGTGATCTCTCAGTCTTTCATCTCTGATTGCATTGGTTTCCTCATCCAGGTGAGTGAGTCTTGTGGGCCTGAACTAAGTAAGATGTTTTCTCTGAGTCTGAATTCTGCACCTGGTTTGATTGTAGTCACTCCTTCTCCAATGCTCTCCACAATGCCACCTGCTTCATGGCCTACTATTACAGGAAGAGGCATGGGCACTTTTCCATCAACCACACTGTTATCAGAGCCACAGATTCCTATTGCCACCACCTGTAGGGTAAAAGGTCAATGAGTCAATTAATAAAAGATTATAGCCCTCAGCTGAACTTATTGGTCAGAATTCTTTGATAATAAAGTTTTGCTATCTACTCTCTTTTCAAGTCCATATATTTAATTTTTGAGATTTTTTTCAGACATAAACTCTTTCCTTTCTTGCATAATCTATTCTAGTTTAATCTGTGATAGCCTTATTCTTGAAATAAGGTATCTTAGACAATGTACAAGAATTGATGATTAGAACCCAGATACTAATCACTTAATTACTTGCTATCTGTCAAATGCTAATGGATTTTAAAATCTTGATAATGTGTTTTTCCCTTTCTTTCCTTATATAAACATATAAATTAATTTTACTAAAATTATGCATTACATGTTCTTTGGTTGGTTTTAAAATTTAGCAATATAGGCCATTCGTATCTTTCATAACTTATTATCTTTGATCATATTATTTTTACATAAAGCACCTTTTAATTGATTTAAAAAATATTTCCATTATTTTTCCTGTGACATTTTTAAACAAAAAATTTAAGGAATAAAGATATAATATTTCACCTTAAAACGAATTTCATTGGCTTTCGGGGGTGCAACCTCCACCTCCTCAATGGAAAAGGGTTTTTTTAACTCCCATAGCACAGCTGCTTTGCATTTTATTACCTGAAAAATTGGACAAAATTCCCATCACTTTCAAAATCAAGTATGTTCTCTTTCATTTAGTAAATGCAGTATATAAGACTCTGTCATGTAAAAATATCTACTACTTAGAGATGAACATTCTCATATTCATCAAAGACTTTTTAAATAAAAAAATTGTATAAAACAACTGCCTCTCTGCTCAACACTGTTCACGTCCTGATGCTGCCCATGCATTAGACCAATCATACCAATTCACTAGACCAGATTAACTGATCTTAGGGAGACCAGATTTGCCACTGCTACTTTGCTACCCTGTGCCAGGAGCACCAACACAACAGGTATAGCTATTTCCTTTCTGAACAGCACCTTGGTACCCCTGACCTATCTCAGAGCCAGTACTTGAGCTGAGGACCCACTGGATTTAACCTAGGTTTCAAACAGATACCTGGCTGAGAAGGTTGCTAATTCACAGGCCATCTCTGTTCTCAGCTGAATTATGTCTTTCCTAAGTCAAAGATTAAAGAGAAATTCAGGCAAGTGAGCTGCCCTTCCTTCCTCTGGAACAGCAAGTTCCTGAGCCAAGGTTATTCTCAGACCAAGGCCCTTGGCATGAAAAACTCTACACAGCAATGACATGGAAGAAGCAGACTACCTCTCATCCTACATAAAATCAAAACAAGATGTAACCCAAAAAACTGATCAAAACATAGAATCAATGGATTTCTTGAAGCCAGAATGTCTGATGGGACTTTTTGACACAGAATTCAAAAGAATAATGAGTGAGAATTTTCAATGGGTAAATTAGAAAAACATGAAGAATTACAGGGCTCTGCAAGCAAAATTCCAGAGGAACTTAAAAAAAAAAAACCCCAACCAACCAAACAAATCCAAAATAATTCAAGACAATGAAGATAAAGCAAACAAGGCATTAGAGGTTCTGGAAAAACAAGAAACCTCAATCGAGACTGTGAGGACCAATGTTTCAGATGCTGTCTACATGTTGGTGGGACATATGAACAGAGATGAAAAGTTGGAACACAGAATCAGCAAAATAGAAGATAGACTTCTCACCACTGATCTGCTAGAATAAAAAGCAGAATTAAAAATGAAGGAAAAAGAAGAAAGCATAAGAATAATGTGGGACACCATTGAAAGAATAACATGCACATATTTGGAATCCCAGAACAAGAAGAAGAAAGTAAAGACACTGAAAAAGTTGTGGAAGAATTATTAGATGAAAACTTTCCAGGCATAATGAAGAATGAGAGAACGCATATACAAGAATCTGAGTGAACTCCTTACGGAATAGACTTCAAAAGTAAAACACCAAGGCATATCATAGTCAAATTTTCTAGAACTGAAGATAAGGAGAGAATTCTGAAAGCAACTAGGGAGAAATGAAGAGAAATCTATAAGGGAGAGCAAATAAAATTAAGTGCTGATTTCTCAGCAGAAACCATGTGAGCAAGAAGACAGTGGAATGACATATATCAAACACTCAAAGAATACAAGTGTTAACCAAGAACACTGTACCCAGAAAAACTGTCTGTTAATTATGATGGAGAGATCAGGATATTCTCAGAAAGGCAGAACCTAAGTGAACTTTTAAAAACAAGATCAGTGTTGGAGGAAATACTGAGGGAAGTACTTCTTACAGAAATGTTATAGAAAGCAGGATGGCCCAAACTAATGAGAAGCAACACCAAAAAGAATTCAATAAAATGATAGCAATAAAACTTTGCCTCTCAAAATTACACTGAATGTGAATGGTTTAAATGCACCAGTGAAGAGAAAAAGAGTTGTCAATTGGATAAAAGCACTCCAAAAACTCATCAATATTCTGTCTACGAGAGACACACCTGAAAAATGAAGATAAAGGAAGACTAAAAAGAAAAGTGGAATAAATATACCAAGCAAATGGTAACCAGAAAAAAGTAAGAGCAGCAATATTAATCTCTGATAAAATAGATTTCAGCATAAAAACCATTACAATGAACAGGGAAGGTCTCTATGTAATGCTTAAAGGGTCAATAGAACAGGAGGACATAATCATAATAAATATCTATGCACCAAATGATAGAGCTCCAAAATATACAAAGCAAGCATTAACAGAACTGAAAAAGAAATACATACCGCCACAATGGCAGTAGGAGACTTCAGTACACCACTCTCAAGTAAAATGTGTATGAGGATCTAAGGTGGGGAGGGTAGGAACATAAGGGTGATGATAGGTGGGGGTCATGATAATCGTTTTTGCACAATTTGCTGGGTGGAGGGAGCACTGGGTTAAGGAAATGGGAAAGATCTGGCATGAAAAAACAATGTATAAAAAAAAAGAAAAGAAAACACAATGTATATGAACTTTGTAATTAAACTAGTATAAAATAAAAAGTTCTTTTTAAAAAAATGATAAGGAAAAGATAGAACTACCAATTAACTTTGTAAAGATGTGGAAGAATTAAACAACACAATAAAGCAGATCAATTTCATAGATATATACAGGCCAATGCACCCCAAAGAAGCTCAGAATACCTTCTGCAATATGCATGGAACATTCTCCAGAATAGATCAGAATTTAGGTTAAAAAGCAAGCACCCATAAATTAAAAAAACCAGAAATAATACAAAGCATGTTCTTAGATCACAATGCTACAAAATTAGAAATTAATAGCAAGGAGGAAAAAACTCCATACATTTGGAAGCTCAACAACACTCTGCTTGAACATGAGTAGGTAATAGAAGAAATAAAAAATGAAATAAAAAAGGTTCTTGAAACAGATGACAATGAAAACACAACTTACCAAAACCTCTGAGAAACAGCCAAAGTAGTAGAGAACAATTTATAGCAATAAGCAATCACATCAAAAGGGAAGGAAACACTCTAATTGATTCTTTAAACCAATATAGTAAAGAAAATTGAAAAAGAACAATAAGAAAAATTGACACCTTCTATTAAAAAACAAACAAACAACAAACGAACAAAACAAAACAACCAATTAAGGCAGAAATAAACGAAACAAAACAGAAAGACAATTGAAACCATAAACAAGACTAGGGGTTGATTCTTTAAAAAGGTCAATACAATTGATAAACCACTATCAAAAGTAACAAAGAATAAGAAAGAAAAGACACAAATAATCCAATTAAGAGATGAAAGGGGCAATGTTACAACAGAATCACTTAAATGAAAACATTAACAATAGAATATTATGGAAAATTATACTCAAGCATATACTCAAAAAGGGAGCTCTGGTTGCCTAGTGGCAAGAAGCTGTGCTGCAATCCTGAAGGCATGATATTTGAGCGACAAGCTGCTCTGCTGGAGAAACAATACTTCTAACTACCTTTGTAAACCCACTGGAGGGTCAGCTGTGGATTGATTCCAACTCTATAGTACACCACAACAACATATTCACACAAATATGAAAATATTGAGGAAATGGACAAATACTCAGAAACTCACAACCTACCTAAACTGATGGAGACAGAAATAGAACACCTGAATAGTCCCATTACAAAAGAAGAAATTAAGCAAGTAATAAAACAACTACAAACAAACAAACAAACAAACAAACAAGCCCTGGACCAGCTAGTTTTACTAGCGAATTTTATCAAACAGTTAGAGAATAACTGTCACCAATTCTACATATAGTGTTTCAGAAAATAGAAAAAGATGTAATTTTCCCAGACTCATTCTATGAAGCAAACATATTCTCCATACCAAAGTCAGGTAAAGACACCACCAAAAAATAGAAAACTATAGGCCGACATCTCTCATGAACACAGATGCAAAAATACTCAATAAAATCCTGGCCAGTAGAATCCAACAACGTTGTTGTTGTTGTTAAGTGCTGTCAAGTTGTAGGTGACTCAGAGCCACCCTATGAACGAAAGCCCTGGACAACTGTATACATTTTGTTCTTTCTCCAGGTTCATAGGGTTTCCAGAGGCAAGCTATT